AAGGAAGACCCTGTATCAAAAGCATTTGGAAGAGACTTGACTTGGTTTTCTGATTCTATCAAAAACTAATTGCAATTACTAGTGCTTGAGTCACAGGACGGTGTCATGCCTCAGTCTCCCCAGCTGTAATGTCATAGTTGCTGTACGGAGGTGTGTGAGCTGGAACACAGCTTGTCTGGAAATCAGAGCAAATAGATTAGTGTCTCCAGACAGTCAGGCTTCAGAGTGTGTAGAAATGACGTTGGTTGCACAGCATGGTGGTAGGAGTTGTGGCTCTGCTTAATTTGCAAATGTAGAAGCCGTTCCCAAACTGGGCGGAGGAGCAACTTGAAGAAAAACTGCTGCATTAGTGTTTTCACGACAGCTCTGTAAGCTTAAGGCATGGGCCTATGGGCTTGAGTACTGAATCTCCAGCCAGGAGGAGCCCTGGTAGCCAATGGACTATTATTTCCAGCAAGCCTGACGCTGCATCAGCTGTGCTTGCATCATGTAGCAGATCTGCATGTGAACAGCGCGCCTGGATTTACTGCACCTGAGCGGAGTGCTCTACCTCGCACGTGCAGTGGGAGCAGAGACTGCACTGCAAATGATGCAGAGCGCTGGGCACTCAGCCCTGCTGTACTCCGGGCCCCTGGAGGAGTTATTCTTGCTCTGTTGCTATTGTCCTATGGGCCCTGGGGACACCTCCTTGCTTGGGCTGTGTGTAACACTCATTTGTGTTGTCCCTTTGATAGAATATCCAGAAGCTTTGACTGGGAGCCAGGAGCTCCTGATTTCCAGTCCAGGCTGCAGGAAACTTTGGGCCTGAATCGCAGTGATGCTAAGTACTGTAGCATCCATTGCAGGCTGTTGTTAACTGTGCCGTTGCAGACTGGAGTCTCTGCCATTGTGGCTCTGTTTCACAGATGGAACATACGAAAAATAATTCCATAGTCAGTCTAGGTCCCAGAATCACAAAAAGTACCTCCACTTTGACGTCCCTGCTGACAGTTTCTCAGAGAGACTAGTCTGTGACTAGCAAAAAGGTCATTCCATTCCTACTATAGAGACAATCTTCTAGAGAACAGTTGAGGTGTACCACCGGGGAAATAAATGTGTGTGAACTTTCATTGCCAAATATGATCTTTGGATAAACAGAAGACTTCAGACTCCAAGGCACCTTTCACAAGTGCTAAATTCATACCCCAAACAAACCCTAACAAAACCTTTCATGTCTTCATATTATATGTAGCCAGTAAAAAAGAAGTTCTAGAGCCCTTTGGGGAGGGCCTCTTGAAGCACTTGGGGAAGCACTCAATGTGTGGTCAGGTTAGGACTATTCAAAAGTAGATCTGAGTGTCAGCAGAGCAGGTGTTTATTTATGCCCACTAGGTTTGGCAGGAACCCAGCAGTACAGTGTATTTTGCTCTGTTACACAGACTTTTATTGTTGAATCAGCTTTATTTAATGGAAGCTTTCTATAATAGGTTCCTGTTCTGGAGAGCCTCCTCTAAAGGTGAAGAAACAGTTCAGTTTCCAGGACCATTCTGCCATTAACTATTCTGCTGAGGCCAAGTAACCAAGTGGTGGTTGATGATGGCTCATTGGGTTTATACACCAGTCCATAAAGAAGTGGACTGACACGCACCAATTCATTGCATACTGAGCCACTATCAAGCTGTTTCATTCTCTGTTACCTGATCCGAATGAGAACGTTTTGTGGGCTTGGTTTGGGACCTCGATCAGTCTTGGATGGCTTTGAACATCAATCAAATAATAAATAAAGAAAATAAAGAAAATAAAGAAAGAAATAGAATGCCCCTAAGTACACTGTCAATCTTTTGAGTGATACAGTCCTAAAAATCACAGAATCACAAAATAGCTGGGATTGGAAGGTACCTCTGGAGATCATCTGGTCCAACCCCCCTGCTCAAGCAAGGTCAGCTAGAGCAGCTTGCCCAAGGTTGTATCCAGTTGGATTTTGAGTATCTCCAAGGATGGAGACTCCACAACCTCTCTGGGCAACCTGTTGCAACCCCCGCTCCCCCCC